CCCCTCGACGACCGGCGCACAGGGCTCCTTCCCCTCGACGACCGGCGCACAGGGCTCCTTCCCCTCGACGACCGGCGCACAGGGCTCCTTCCCCTTGATGACCGTCGCAATGGGCTCCTTCCCCTCGACGACCGTCGCACTGGGCTCCTTCCCCTCGACGACCGTCGCACTGGGCTCCTTCCCAATGACGACCGCCGCACAAGGCTCCTTCCCAATGACGGCCGCCCCACAGGGCTGCTTCCCAATGACGGCCGCCCCACGGGGCTGCTTCCCAATGAAGGCCGCCGCACAGGGCTGCTTCCCCATGACGGCCGCCCCACAGGGCTGCTTCCCAATGACGACCGCCGCACAGGGCTGCTTCCTCTTGACAGTTGCGGCTTGCAATTCCTCCTTGGTGAAACATTTTTTTTATGAATTCTCTTTGGTGAAGAGTGCTTCTCATAGCTTCTTGAACGGGTGAGAGCTGAATGGTCACTACACTGGGACCAAGACCTTGACCTAGACCTTGAGACAGGGTGTTGGAGGTGCCGAGAGGAAGGACTGTTTGATCTGTTTTTTCCATCTCTAGAGCTGTGGTGGTCAGGGGAATGGCGATGAGACAACGAGCTCATGCTGGATCCGTTTTCACTATGTCTTGGTCTGCTGTGGCATGAGGTATATAAACCAACACGACTGCTTGATTTGTGCTTTGCATCTCTTGAGCTACTATTGGATTTTTTCATTCCATCTCTTGAGTTGCTCCGATGACATGGACTACGAGAGCGGGAAGATGTCTGACGGCGGGATCTTTCCACTCTCCCTCTTGAGCTGGAGCTGTTGGAGCGGGAACGGGAGCGACTATCACAAATGGTGTATTGGAGACGATTAGAGGAGGTTGGGGGCAGAGATTTATTCCTTATCCTTGAACCACTGAAAAGAACATTGAACAATAAGAGAAAAACAAATTACCAAAAACAAAAAAAAAACTTGGTAATAGTGAGAAGACTATTTGCATCTACCTGCTATTAGTATTTATATTTGGGAGACAATAATTTACCTTTTCAACGATGGTACCTGTCCATCCCAATTAGGGTATCTGTAGAAAAAAAATTTAAATATCTTAAGTACATTAAATCCCTTTCTTGTAGCAACATATAGTCCATTAAGCCCAGTCTGATTTCAGGTTCAAGAAAAAAAAAATACTTTATAAAAACTTTAACTTAACTTTGATTTCTAAGGTGTAATTCAAGAGCAAGAAATGTTCCGAGAAAGAGTTTTCTTAAACTGCCTTCTTCCCTTTTCAAGCTTCACCACTATTGATTAAACTACATTATGTACTATAACAGAGAAAACATTACATGATAATTGAATACAAAAAATCTTGTAAAGAAATGTAATGTACTAACTGGTGTTGAAGGCGTAGGCAGTTCACATTGTGAAAGGTGCTGTTTAGGTGGTCAACCCAGTCCTAAAAAAAATGATTAAATTAATTACAGGAAACAAAGGGTCTCTTTGAAAGACCAATACATTTTTGAAACATAAAATTAAAATGTAAATATAATGGAAAAAATAAAGCTAATATTTAAAGGGCCTTTACTTCAATGTATGGCAGTTTTAAAAAAACTGGACTGTAAGCAAAGACACTAACTTAGATGTATGTAGGTTCTCTTAAACTCAGGATGTACTAACAGTGATGATTGGTGCATGGAAAAATGATGGGATTAAATTTGATTATCAAAACAGAGAATCAGAACTGGCTACACAAACTGAAAATGCAGCAGGGAAATTATCTATTCAATTTTAATGTCTTATCTTCACAAATACAGCTTAAAAAGTTCAAGATCTATAATAAACTGCTGCCTCAAAAGCCAAAAAATAAAGCGTTTTCCCTAAAATAAGATAATGCTACATTCACCAACTCACCTTAAATTCAGCACATTCTTTCTTGCATAAAATGCAGGTGTGTGGAAATGTTGTTGGCATATGTGCGGCATAATCACGCATCATAGCCAGAGATGGTAGGTCCTTAGAGGACTCGGTCTTGGCTGGGGACTGAGATTTAGGAGGTGACACCTTAGTAGTGTTGTCATCATTTATGATAGTCAGAGACACGTTGGAGACAGAATCATTAGAGGTAACCGGCTCAGGCAAAACAACTTTTGAGACAGCTGGCTTTGCAGGATTGAAAGAAGATGCAGAATCCTGTTTTGCAGCAGAAGACTCCGGGGGTTGCAAACTTAGAAGAATCTGCAATACTTTGAGAAAATTGGCTTTCTGGGACTTTTGCTGATTCTCTATTGGGTCTTCAATATTCGATCCTTGCTCTTGAGCCGTTTTCTCACCACCAGATATGGTAGCTCTTTTTTTATGCTGTGGAGGTAATGGCTGGGACGTATGTTTTTGCTGGGGATCCATGTTTTCAGCTGGATTACTGCTTGGACGCGCCAAAACATTACAGACCGAGTTTAGACTGGCAACAGATACCATTTGGTCATCTGGACAGACCAAACTTCTGTTCTTCAACGTTGTCAAACTTTGTTGTTTTGCTTCTTCACCTAAGCCACTGCTCTGAAAACTATCCATCGAAAAAGACTTCTCAGGAATCCAGGTTGTATTACGAATGTTTTCTTTCTCTGCAATATGCTCTCCTGTATATGCATATCTAATCGCTTCAGCTGGTTGGAAATTATTATTGGGCCTTTGATCTTCAGGCATTCCTGCTTGCCCAAAACTAAACTGGGTAATT